CGTTCGGAAACGGAGTGTTCCTGCTGCATCTTCTATGGGCACCTTTTTGGGAGAATCTGAATCTGTTATTAGAATTTCCATACCACGCTAGATGTAGATTGTAGAAGCTACAGACTACTACTTTCTTATTTCTTACGGACGCCATATTGGATTTTTACGGAATGAGACATGTTGATTCAGCAAGATCTAGTTATCCGTGGATGTTTTGTTGAGAAATGAATGTAAAACATTTGATTTTGAAGTTTATCTTGTAAATTTATGTAAAAGTAGGTATACCTAGAGTTTGACACGTTACTATTTTTCATTTTTTTGTTCTCTTATTCCCAAAAAATTCATTATGGCGCCGACAAGAAATAAGAAAGCAGTAGCCTGTAGCTTAAACCTCTAGCGTGCTACTGATGATAATTCTGATTCTCCGAAACAATAAAGTGTCCATAGAAGAGGCTATCCGACCGTTTAAGCTAGGGAAAATGAAAACGTAATTTGAGATTTTCAGTTTTTCGGAGAAATTCCGTTATTTTCAAAGGTTTTTCAAAAATTTGCAATCCGTTTTTTAAGTCACAAAAAACGCACAGAATAAGTACGGGTATTTAAATAGTTTCGATTTGCAGTATTTAAACACTTCAGAATACCTGCAGAATAGTTTTTCTCCAGCCGTACAAAGATGGAATGTAATGTGACGTTATGCAACAGCTTTTGTTCAAGGATATAGACTATAGAGTATATACTTTTTTCTTAGACACAAAAGTTTACAACATTGTATGCAAAATACGTTTATGTTTAATATGTATTTAGATATACCTAGTGTTATATAAAGATGTAGAAACTGTCATAAAAAGTGCCATTTTTGAGCATTTGTAGGGTGCAAATCATGCAACATGTTCGTGTCGCTACTAGTATCAAATTCCAAATATCGAATTGACATTTGTCATAGGTGCTACTTAAGTTAGCTAAAATTTGTAACGCTTTTTATAGGGTAATGCAGATATATTCCTAAATGAGTCTGTAATGTACAAATTTCAAATTGAGTTCGCACGTAGGTAATAGGGTGCAGCTTCTAATGTTTGCACAAAACCGTGTGATTAAGTTTTTTTACCTATCATTGATTGAGAGAAGGCAAAACTCCGGTATTGTAATGTAGTAGCTTACTAACTTGCTCCTACATATTCATCATTATAACGCGCCATCACGAAGTTTTGTATGACATGAATGACAAGCAAATTTTAACAAGTGGCACGACGCATGAATGACAGTAGGAATGGCCGCAAGTGTTGGGTTTACCCTGACAGTGGCAATGACTGGCATTTCTGTCTCATTTCTGAAGGCTAAAAACGATATCTATGCCATCAGATCTTTTACTTCTACCATCCAAGGATATCAGTTGGATTTTGTTATATTCATATAATCATAATAGTTTGAATAGATACTATCAAACGTCAATACTACTACTCGCACTACGTTATTAGATCTATAAAGAAGAATATTTCTGTATCGAGATTAGTGTTCTGATAATTTGTGTGGTCTTCAGTATTATTCATACTAAAGATACCATAAACATGCTTGCTGTAATCTTGATGGTTTGTGCCAGTTAATGAATCAAGAACACGTGTACGTTTGCTTTATGAATACTGTGATTAATATTTACACAAGAAACTGAGTATTAGTACCTTTGACGAAAGAAGGGCAGTGAAAGTTAACTTTTCATTGTTAGAGAGTGACCAATTCAACTGTATTGAACATTTTATGGGGGTTATATAAATATTTTACAACTGTACAGTTAGGGCTGTAGTAGGTCACCTTGAATTTGTACCGTTGCGATGGGTACTTTTTTATCACGTACGAAATGAGGCGCTTATCCATTTTTTCCATCTTCTCCGTGTATGTGCTTGACAATGCGAGCCAAACATGAAAGGAATGTTTAGAATTAGATCGCAGTTCTTAAATCAGTAATCACACAACAGACCCACCAGGGCGCTGTCATATTGTTATTGCCGGACAGGACATCTTCCCACAGCCTCGTGTTCGACCCCCAAGTGACTAGTATTACTTTGATTCATTCTTTTGTTAAATAGCATGTTCGCAATTAATTAACGTGAAATAACTATAAAAAATGGTAACTTCAAGCAGATTAATATCCAACATAAGTTTTTATATTGTTCCATCTCAATTAGGCCTTAAGAGTTGAGTATTTGCAAGTTTATCTTTGGAAATTGAAGGTGATGATGGCGTTCTATTTTCTGAATCATTACATTCCCGAAATGCGTTCATTATACCACATGCATCTATATTAATAATATAGGTAGATTTTATGACCTTGCCAACAACAGAGAAATATCAATCATGTTGTCTCAATATCACAGTAATTCGTTTCATAATTCAACCCTCATGAGTGCAGAATGATGTATGCAAAATAAATTAATCGCACTGTCTCTCGTCGTCTCTTAACCTTCTTCGCACCGTACGAGGGTTTGACAAAATTTAATAAAGTAGAAGGTATAATTGTAATATTACAAAGTATTAAATAAAATTGGGGTAATAAAAGTATTTGGTAAGCCACCCTCGGCAGACGTGAGCATCGACAATAGGCGATTGGACTGCAGTACTGATTGGTTTTCGCTTCAATATCGGCTACTGAATCTCATTATGTACAATACACACGCATCTCTATTGTGATAAGTTTTGCAAGGGGACTGTGCGTATGATCTACAATGGACCCCGACTTAGACGGTGACATTAACGGTACGCTGAAAAAACTTCGTATATTAGGCTCATGCCTCATTAACATTATTTAATGTAATTGTTTCTTCAGTAAACAGAGTGAAAAGTAAGTGACGGTGAACCTGTGAAACTTGGAAAAATTTTCTTTATTTTGGTATGATTGTACTACGTTGTCACATTCTATAAAATCTAGATGAAAATGCGCTGAAAAAGACATCAATGGGTGGGGGTGGGTAAATTTTACAGGGCAGCTGGCGAAATAAAAGAACTAGCGACAAACCTTAGGGGGTCGCAACCCCTCCTGCTGCTACCCAGCTTTTATGGAATAGTTGACAATGTTCGGCATTTATCTGAACGTGCCAGAATCGTGCTATACCGGACACGTATTGCAGTTGCACTTTTACAGTAATCGAAGATACAAGTACTTCACAAAGATGATGAAAAAAGACGTTCAGTAAAGCAACGATAATATGAGTGCTCATACACAAGGCGCCGGTGACTATTGGAACCATCAAAATCAACAATTTTTCGATCATTTTCGCGTGAATTCTTTGCCGTTCGATTCCAATACTCCAAACGTTTATCCAATCTACAACGGAAATTATAGTGGAAATAGTGCGTGCGCTTTAGCTGAAAGTAGTTATAAAAGTTGTGTAAAAAGCGAGTTCCCAGTTGGGTACGAAAGGTACACTTCTATAAACTTTGATACGAAACAGTCTTACGAATCAACATCGAACACCTCGTTATCTTCCCCTTCGCAATTGTCGAACGCCGCAGGTGAGGATGACTACAGTAGTGAATTCGTTGACATCAGAAGTTATCTTTCACGTTGGCCACCGTTTCCCAATCAAGCTGAAGAGAAGCACATTGACAACGTACAGCCGGAACAAAAGGAGGATTCCCCTGCTTTGCGAGCACTATTAACCAAACCGCGCGATAAAAAGGACCAATTTTCAACCCCTACAATTCCGGAAACGTTGCCGAAGCCACAAATTAAATCGTGCGCCAAATCTAATTACACATCCAAAAATGAAACGCCAAACACACCGCCACCTTCAGTCAAAGAAGGATGCGACGGAAATAACTTCGTACAAATAAACAACTATTATCCCTGGATGAAAAATTGTAAGTAAGAAACTCATATTACAAATGAAAATATTAACATTTTTCCTGCAGCAGACAGTAGCCAGGGGGGAAAACGGACCCGCCAGACATATACCAGATATCAAACCCTTGAACTTGAAAAAGAATTCCATTTCAACAGATATCTCACACGGCGGCGACGAATAGAAATTTCTCATGCACTCTGTCTAACCGAACGGCAAATAAAAATTTGGTTCCAAAACCGAAGAATGAAAGCTAAGAAGGACAATAAATTTTCACCATCCGAGGATTTCCCGGAACAAGACGATATCAATATGAATAATACAATAACGAGCACAAATAACGGCACTTCACCATACACGAATATAAATTCACCAGAACTTTGCACGGTAAGTCAAGAACGAAACCTGTTTGATGAATCGGTCGCTATACCTATGACCCAACTGCGTAACCTTCCTGGACCGCCTTGCTTACCTTAAATAACGATCTATATTAATTAAAATTGAAGAGCATATATCAAAATGTAAATAAAGACTTCGCGCTCTACTTAAATGGGCCCAAGTTCTCTGTGTGTATGTATATAAAGCTTTAAGTATCTATTTGTGTAACTTAAATTGTAAATATCCGTAAAACTGTATTTTATATGGAAGCTTCTTGTATGCCAAGTTAAAATAAATTATGACCAAACAAGTGCTCTTAAGGTGGTTGTAAACCTGCACCCTGTTGATTTATGGATGTTATAGAGCACTTTGTAGGCTCCGCTGAGAAGATTCGACAAAGTGTTACAAGCTGTACTAAAAGGATAATCTGTCTATATCAGTTACAAGAAACTATTTGCATTGACAACCTTAACTTTTAAAGAATTTAAATTAGCATAATATTGTGACAACAAATTCCCAAAGGATAGTTCATAAAAGTATTAATAATAACTAACTGTCAAAATGAAACCGCTGAACATATTTGCGAATATTAAAGCTTTTTGCCAAATTGCCGTCGTGCACTTTCAAGGTTAAGTATTATTTAATTGAATTGAGGTGCCCGAAAGTGGGTCATCGTCATCAGAAGAATTTTTTCAAGGAATAGGTTTTCGTAATTTTACGTTCCACCGAAATACCTACCCCCTATATTTAGAAAGTTTTGCAGCTGCAAGCAGAAATCGGAAAAGGCATGCGTGTTCATGAATCAAACATGGCCGATGTTATCCTCGCGCGTTTAGAAGTGTTCCATGTGTTTCCAAGAAAACAACAGTTTCAGGCGAAATTATTTCGGTAAGTGTTTTATACAGCGCGATGTTTTAATTTAATCAAAGAAATACATAATTAGGTGCAAGTAAATATCGGTACATTTGAACGATAAGTAAATTATTATGCGACGTATGTATATAAGAACTCTAATAGAAAATTAATTCACACGCATGTACAATTTCCATCACATTGCTAATTTGATTAGCTTCCAGATGACCTTTTTTGTTATTTTGCCGTCAGATATTTAGGATAAAAAACCTGGAGATACGTTAAGGTTATAATTATTTTGTTTGAACAGGTAGGTATAACATTTTTTGATTTACACTTCAATACAATTACGATTAAATAAATTGCCATCTTTTATTCAATTGGTTGTGTGCTGTAAAAGAAAGGCACGTTAGTTTGATTCTAATAGGCTCATTTTTGGTAAATGATATCAATAATTTAAGCGCAACGCAAAGCATCATCAAGTTGCACAAGTATCTACCTATATACGAGGGAATGGTAAATGAAACGAAGCTCAACCCGAATCTATATATTTTCGGGATATAATTCAGGAAGTAATTCATTTCATATTAGTATCCAAGTAAAGCAGATAGGTAGGTAGCGTCTGACGTATGATTCTGCAATAACAACTAGTTGTAGAATATTCATATCTAAAACGTAGAGCCGCCTCTGAATCACACTAATGTCAAATGTGGTCGAAATTACAACTAGCGTTTTTTCAGTCACAAGTCATGTTTTCTTAAAGGCAGTTGCAATAGACTCAATTACATTTGGCGAAACTGTTTTAATTTCCAATTTTTGCTGTACAAAATGTAAATTTTTAATTACAATCCTACAGCTTTCTGGACAGATTCTTGCTTTATATGTGATATTACAAATAGTAAATGTGTAGAAAAAGGAATGGAATTAAAAAAGCAATTGTATTTTTTTCATTTTTTATTGATGTCATTGAAATGTACCTAATTTCTCAACATCTTTAAAATAAGAGAATAGTGGGAAATTGTTTTTAAGCAATCAAAAAGGAGTGAATTTGCAAAAAAAAGGCTTAACAAAGTAAATATTTTTTCAAAATAATTCAATTTTGTATTGAAATCGAAGCCACAACATGCTAGAGAAATATATTTTCACTCTTTCTATTATTTTAAACGATCTTAGGATCTTAGGAAGTGCACGCACTATTAGCTTATACGTATCTAGTGGCTGGGGTAGGGATTCTATAACTATGGTTTCGTAGAGTTTTAACAATAAATCTAATAAAGGTGCTCGTTGTTCGCACCTTATGGATGTCTTGAGTATCTTACAAGATACGATGTCGGTGTAAGCAATTCGAGCATTAAATCCGAATCTCAATCTGAGTGAAAGCTCCTTTGGCCAAGGGTATTGAGCATTTGTATTTGGTATACTCGAAATAAGGAATAAAACAATCAGATAACTAACTAATAGTGCACAAAATCAGCTACCGTTCCTGTAATCACAACCAGTCATACCTGTAATTAGAGTTGACAACGACTTTGTTAATATCGTTTAGATTTCTTTTATCTGCAAATGCCAACCTTTTCATATTAAAATACAATATTATTAAAACAAACTAAATTAAATAATTGTAATTAACCCAAATTAGACAACCAAAATTAATTTTGTCACTATTTGCCACTTTTGATAGGCATTGACGACACAACTCGAAGGAAAAGGATAATGAGTTTGTTTGTCTAATTTAATTACAAATTGCTCCGTATATTGTTTGACTATGATAGTTAGGTATTTATACGGAAATTTACACCTACATTGCGATTAATTTGATTACCCCTAAATTTTTCACAAAAAATTCAAGCAATACAAGTAGTAATATCTGCTTGTCCGTCTGTGTTGGTTTTAGATTCAGTACCGAGTTAACCAGGAAGCGGTTTTGTTAGTTACATATTTATTGACTTTAAGACATATAGAGTGGAAGAATTAAAGTAAATAAATGAATAAATAGACAAATAAATAAATTACTACTGGCATTGAAATTTTTGTAAAATGTGATAGTTTTATTGCCAAAATGAGTATTTAAGCTTTTGTAATAGTATACGTCACGGCAGTTACAAATAAAAATTGTGTATGTACCTTATACTGACAAGTTTTAAAATAAGATTCGCCATTGTCTTATCTAATATTTGTTTTTACTCAGAATTGAATACGCTTCTATGGTATTTGAAAACATGGAAAATTTATTATAATGTAGTAACACTTAGATTGTTTCAGTCTTCCGATTACGGAAACAGAACATTGTTGTTACTTCAAGTTGTAACCCATTCCTAAAGAAGTTAATCTAAAAAAATTATACTGTCAAATGGAAAAGAATCCGAACACATTCTAGAGGTGGGTTTTGAACTCTGATATGCGTTATCCAGAAAATCTATTGTTTGTTTGGAAAACGGGCATTTTTTGCATTTTACTAATTTATTATTTTGCAAGAAATTAGAAGAAAGTACAAAAAAGTAGAAATTGGTGATTTAATCCATAAAACTATTATAAAGCGTTTTAAGATACAAACTTAATACAGTTTTCCATGTTTCAGCAGAATGTAATACAATTTCCTTTTTTGATTATTGTGGTATTTTTAGATTTTTTAATAGATATTTTCTATGATGACTTGACAAACCATTCAATTTTCTAGAGTGTCTTGAAAACAGAGGCTATACATTAAAATTATTACATGGTAGCCGTCAAACTTCCGATTTTCAACTTACCGATAGTTTTTTAATATCTGCGCGTTTTTACAAATTAAAATCAGTTTTTTTTCATAACGTAGGTATAAATGTTTTCATTGTTTTTGTTCGCACGTTCGTGTTTTTGGTGACTTTGTCAGTTGATGTCAAACCATACATTTCAGTACATTTCAGAAGAAAAATTCAATTGTTTGTGTTGCAATGTTACAATTAAGTAGGTCAAAAAATTGTATCGTACATGGATCAGAACAAGCATTTTTTCCCTAAAAGTTCCTAATAGTTCAAATATTTGCGTTTATTTTGTATTTGTTCTCAGAACCCTCAAAAGTCAGTTGATAGAATTTTCAGCTTTCCAAATATAAACCGGCTTTATGGTTCAGTGGTAGAGCGTTGGACTATAAATCCGGAGGTCGGGTGTTCGAACCTGGGTTGAAGTGAATTTTTCATCTGTGGCAGAGATGGGAATTACATTAGACCAGTTTCGAGCATTCTGCCGGCTACTCCGAATTACGTTTTCGTGCAGTTTTCCTAATTCGTAAGGTAAATTCCGGAGTAGTATAGAACAACTTAAGACCTTCTGCAGGGGCGCCTCTAAAAAGCATTATGCGGATCACTCAGTAATTGGGGGCAAGCCTGTTGAAGGCACACAACAACAGAGGGGGGATAATAAATAATAAATAAATAAAATGGGGGAAAGTTTTGCCTCAATTCTTCATAAAAAGTGGTTAATCTGTTTCTTTTTCACTTGTTCGCTGATGATGACAGCCTTGCCTTATTGTGGTTTCTTGGTGTTATTGCTAGTTGTACACAAGGCGGTTCAAATTCGTGGCTCACCATTGGGATCTCCGTAACGGTAGGAGGGACAGTGTATGTTAATGGTGTCAAAGTTGCCTCTTTTTGTGACTAAAAAAACACATTTGAAATTTTTGAAAAATCTTTTAAAATAGCTCAAAAATCACTGAAAAACTGAACATTAAACGGTTGGAAATGGAGGGTCCCCTTCGCAACTTCACTTTTTTGCGGAGAATATGAATGTGTTATCGCCAAATGTTGATCCTGGTGTTTTGCTTTCATTTAAAGTGTATATGTATGAAATTTTATTTAATTGCTTCCATAAATAAGAAAATTGGTACTGCAGAAATTTAGAAACTCGCGCTACATTTGCTTTTATTGCAAGCGGCTATGTATCAAATTTCATTTAAATGCTTTTATAAATAAGAAAGTTTGCATTTCGGTTTATAAATGGTAGAGATGCGAAAATGGCACTGTGAATGTTGATCGATTAGGATCAACTTTTGGAATTGCGTTTTATATATCTAAAGCTATAGGTACGCATATTGAATTTCATGCAATTCGGTTCATAAGTCACGGAGATGACAAAATTGCCTTTTTTATTTTTTGGGCTACATTGCCAATTCACGAAGTCCGATCTACAAATTTGATAAAGAATCCTCCAAAATTTGGCCATAATCGGTCCATTCGTTATCGAGATATCGTGCTAACGGACGGACGGACAGACACCGCAAGATTATAAACTCACTGGAGCTCGTTAATAATAGATCTCTAATAAGTAATATACCTACAATGTATATACAAAATAATAAAACAGCATGTAATAGTTAATTATTAAGTAATTAATAAAGGTAGGTAAAATGAAAGTAACGGGCGATCAAAAAAGGATTGACGTCGAGTCGCCTTTGGAAGTTCAACTTAAATATAATTTCCCATCTAAACAAAAATTACAAAGAGGACTCGACAGCAACTGTCTTTTGATCGCATAGTAGTATTCATGCACTCCGGGGTTTTTTAGACCGAGATTCATATCTCATCAAAAAGCCCCGTACATTTTTTTACATAAAGTGAAGAAATTCTGTAACGCATCCCCTCTATTATGTATTTAGCTTTTTTGTACAAATTTAGGGAAGCATTTTGATTGTATAATTGATTAGACCTACAGTGTTTAAAATTGCCTCTATTACAGAGTGTGTAATTTTCCCATGTAATTTCTGCATAAATATGAATTTAATTTTTAATGCATGATTTATTAAACTCTAAACTTGATGATTCGTTTATTTGATTAAATCCAGGATTTTATCATAAAGAAAAATCTTTCTGTGTTACCCTACCCTAGGTATATCCTTAATAGTTGCATTTGGCAGATGTTCAATTAGTAGAAGTTTTAAAGATATTTACACTAAACGGATACTACGAAATATCAAAGGTATTACCATCACTTTTTAACGACAAGGCAAATCGACAAAAATGCATCAAATTCATGTCGTGGCTATCGAAATAATATGGTGTCAGAAAAATAATTTAAAAATAATCTTTGAATCAAATACTATCCTAGGTAGGAATCAAGTGTGTATCGGATGTACTCTTTCGGCATCAAGATAATGCGTTTGGCAGCTTTTACAACTCCAAATTCATATGTAAAGAATAATTTTGGGTACATTTTGCTCTAAAACTTTTGACCTAGACCACGGAGAAGAGTTATATTAAATTGTTACACATCTATGACCCGGTTGTTCAATCATGGTTTAAACTGCAGCTCTCATAGTAATCACCAACAACAATAAGAACAGTAGCATAAAATCTAAGTCGCAGTAACACGTTGTAACTAACATAATGGATATTGTTGTGATAGCGTGGGTTCTAAAACAATATAACAATACACAATGGGCGATCAAAAATGAGGTAATGTCGAGTCGCCTTTGGAAGTTCCATGTTCTTGAGGGAACAAAAAACTAGTTTAATCCAGTGTTACTTATACGATTTTTTTCAATACCGACCGATCTGAATCAATTTCGAAATTAATTTATGCTTTTTATTATAAAAAAACTGTGAAAAAGTAAGGTAGGCTATTTAATTTTTTTTTTAATTTTTTTAAATTTTAATTTTATCCCTCTCTTGTTTTTGGGCCCTCAGGCATGCGTCCAATTACAGAGTGACCCGCATAATGCTATTTAGAGGTGCCTCTGCAGAAGGTCTTAAGTTGGTCTATACTACTCCGGTATTTACCTTACGAATTAGGAAAACTGCAGAAAAACCTAATTCGGAGTAGCCGGTAGAATGCTCGGAACTGGTCTAAGGTAATTTACATCTCCGCCACAGATGAAAAATTCACCTCAACCCAGGTTCGAACACCCGACCTCCGGATTTATAACCCAATGCTCTACCACTGAGCCATAAATCTATTTACGGTGTTATAGTTACTCTCCCTTGTTTATAACTGTGTAATTAAAAATTTTCCATCTCCATAAAACTATACCTGTAAACCCTTTTAAAAATATGGAAGAAGAAAGTGACGAAGCATATGAAGGCACCTCTTTCATCCCCTAAGATATCACTTACTTGCTGATAAAAGTTTGTTTGTTTAAAACATTGAATGCTAATGTTTGTGCTTGTAGATTGTGACAATTGCAGGAGGAATTGTTAAAAATGAACGCAATTAGTATTTAGCATTATATAAGAAGAGCTGGATGTACTTTTTAAGGCCCTTTATAGATTGTGCTTTTAATATATATTACCTATATTCTGAAAATAAAGAAATTTCGGAATTCTGAATGTTTTACAAGAAAACAAAAATGAGGAATTAAAATTTTTTTAATCCCTAGGAATTTTTTTTTAAACAAATAACTTCTTAATCTTTTGGTTTTGTCCAATACACTTCAAAAATGATGTTGTTTCCGAGCTGCAAGGGCCAAAGGTTTCAAAAGCTAGAGCCACAAAGAAAAAATTGTTGGATTTCAAAGCGGAATATTTTTCGTGCTTCTTCTTTGCTTGAATTTCACTAGCTGATCCGGCGGTTATTGATGTTTGATGTATGTATGATGCCGCAACAGTGTCCACGCAGGTGACATCCCAAATTAAGCGTTGTCCTCTTCGCCATGGTGCTAGAGTGACTCCATCTGGTCGTTTTCCATCGTCGCGTGACAAACCTACAGGCTCCAGAATTGAACAAATCTTAATTGACGCAAGAGCTCTCTGAATGATGTGATTCAGCTCTGTGTGCCGTGAATGTCTTCCCTTGCTAGATAAGCAGCTTAAACCGTGATGCCCATTTTCCTCTACAACCTTTCCACAGTTGCATTGGTGCAATAATTTAATTTAATATTTAATTCCCTAGGAATTAAAATTATCTGTTAATGCACAAAAATTAGAGATTAAATTTAATAAAAACGTGTCGGTATTGGAAAAAATACATTAATTCCGTTTGCCTATGGTGCGCTCAACCTGGGAGACACGGTATACAAAGGTAGAAAGTAAAGGTGAAGTCATCTCACAGAACACTTACCCTAATGAAATATTAAAACAGTAATGAATACCATCATCTCATCTGTTTCAAGTCAAATCATTTTTTCACCGTGTATTCCTTAGTTACCATAGGATAGGTGTAGTCACCCTTTATACTCGTATTATAGAGACCGCCACGTCAGACCGGCACCGCAGAAGATCTTTATTTACAAACAGTTTGGCGAACAGACTACCTAGTCATATTTTTTTAATGAGCGTTTTTTTGCACATCAGTTTGGGGAATGTGCCACATGTTTAAAATTCTTTTTTGTGGATTGTTTACATTTCACTTGCACCTTTTATAAGAACAGAGTATATCAGATGTCCTGTCCATCTATCGATACAGTCTACGTATACAAGCTTTGAATAATCTATAATTGAAACCTTTAACAACGATATTTTTGGAGAATGTGTTACATCGGAAAAAATGAATTTATTATTAGATGTGTATTATTGTCACGTGCTTACAAAATGCCGCAGAAAAAGATGACTATAAAAAGAATAAACGAATTAAATGATCGTTATATAGGTAAAATTGTTCGGCTCAGAGTTATACCCAAAGCCATGTGTTGTGCTTCCAGCGGAAGGTAGCAAATACCTTTCATTTGAATCTTGCCGACCCATCCCATCACAAAGAAAACAGTTCGATTACGGATAAGTAATTTAGAATGCCACTATGCTTATTTAAATGTGGAAATATACGATAATCCGACAATGCGTGTAAATTTTTTATGTTAGATCTAAATAGGGGTTATAGCACATAACTAAGTAGTTTTTGTAAAAATGTATTCCACCTTACAGCTAAAATACCATTAGAGTTTCACAAAAAGTGTGGGTTTAGTAAATGTGTATCTATTATAAAGTGATTAGAAAATGACTTCTCATATAAAGGAAGATGAAAAAGCAATATAATTATAGGTAGACTTTATCTCCATTACTAACAAATGTGTGTGTTTAACGCAATCATAAATATAAATATTGGAGGTTCCGGTAACTGCGTTTGATTCATGGTTTTGTTGCAGAATTTCTCCTGGCCTGACTCGATAAGCAGCAGATCTCTGATGGACCGATAATGGTCGATCTTCTAAGGGGAGAGGTAGTTTAATCATCATTATTGAAACTCCTAATGGTTTGTATTGTCCACCGTTCAATTTATCATGTGCACGTCCTAATGGATGAATTATATAAAAGGAACAAGTATGTTACTTTTGCTGTTAGTTAAAAATGAAATCGTATAATGTGAAAAGTTTCTGTCTTATTTGAAATAAATATTAGTAAATGAGTTTATTTGATTTGACGCTATAGAAATTCCATTCCCATTAGAAAGTGATCGAAGAGTTAAAGTATTTTAAAAGCAATCAAAACTTCGTCGAACATGGGCCCTGCAAAAACAGTTAACCGCAAAATAAGTTCTAAATTTAATCAATGGTCGCGGAAGCGGAATGTTGCGAGTTCGTTCAAGAGTTTGTGTATTAAAACCTTTCGGTGCGTGTAAACTTCCAGGCATTGGTAAAGGTTTTCATAAAAAATAGTGTTATGTGGCCCGTACGATTTTGGCGAATACAAAACAATGAGAGTATCATTAAAAGTTTGGAATCGCGTTTGACTGAAAACAGAGGTTTGCATGATATTGGAAACAGCGCAATTCCATTAGACCAGATGTGCGGCGCGGGCCGTGAATATGCAACGTAGGGGTGTGTATTGGTACATAATAGGTTCAGTGACGTGTTCTACTAACCCTGACAGGAGGTGAGGAGGGTCGCGGGTCTTACAAAGCTCTAGGTCGGAAAGGGATGAAAGGGGAGTATCGGGGTGATGGATTACTCGACCACCCTGTCAAACGCAAGATGGATCTGCCATTTTAAAACTTATATTTTTCTGCAATATGTAAAAATGATGGCAGATTTTATTGAAATGTTGATACTCCAAATATTTAAGCATAAAATTTACTAATTCTCTGGTAATTGAGAATCACCTTTATGTCAGTTCTTTCATTAGTTATAAATCAGCACAACTCACACAAAATCAGAAAAGCTAGCGTGTGACGTTTATCAACAAGTTAATTTTAAAAAGCTTCCTTATAGCAGAATGAATGTAATACACAAAGATATACGAATATACGATACTTGAAACGATCGGTCTTTAATGATAGGGACCAAACCCTAACTATGACGTATTACAAATTAAACCACCACTAAATACGTAAGTGCAGCGTCTACTTAAGGTAAGTACAGTAATTGCTAAAAAGTAAACGATTTCTCTTAATTATGTTCTGACAACGTTCTCGGTTGTCTTTTTTGCGAGCAACTGTAACGTCACGTCAATATCCAAAGCCAGTCAGCTCTGTTATAACCATTATCTTCAAGTATATTAAGTATACAGGGTGTTCACCTAGCCCTCTCATTAAACTTGCAGTTGAAATAGAACAGCCATAATAGACCATTGAGAATTCAAATAAAATCATTTCAAGATGGCGCCGCTTCCGTTAATACCGGAAATGGCGCCATCCTGTTTTTTTTAAACAGAAACGCATTTTCTATTTTGTTCTAAAGGCGCTATTTTATTTTGAATTCAACGCATTTAGATTTATGTACCTACCTGTCATAGTTTTTGACTTGTGTCAAATTTTTCTCTAAAAATTTCAAGACGCAAGAGTCAAAATTTCATATCTCTAAACCGTTCAAGACTCACTCACTAGTGCTCCTTTTTACAATCGAGTCCTTAAAGTCTAAGGAATTTTTTGAGTTGCGCCGAAAGTCTTGAAAAAGTTTCACGCAACTACTATTTTTTCTGCCAGAAATGAATGTAGATACATTTAGGGCCTAATTTAGGGCCACTTTTATTAACATTCTGTATGCCTACATCCGGTAGTTATAATAAGTTATTGGCATAAATAAAAAACAAATAAAAAAACTCAATGCGAATAATGATCCATAGACAGTGAAAATTTGAACACTATGATAGCAATGTTTGACATTTGATTCGACGGACGTTCAAATAAAAGGATTGCGTCCAAATGAAACCTAATGAAAAATAAGAATATTTGTTTCAAAAAATACCAATAACTCAATAACAACCCGATATTTATACGAGTAGGTGTACAGAACGTTAATAAGAGTGGGCCTAAAATTAAAATTTACATTCATTTCTAGCCTCAGAAATAGTAGTTGCAATTTACAAAACTGAAGTTGTTGATATAAATCACAACCCATAGTTGACAGTCGAGAGCCACTCCTGTAACCGACCCTTCACCTTGAAAACGTGAGTTTACAAACAAGTCAGTACAGATGGTAGGAAGTTTGAAAATTTTTTTGCAAAATAGGCACGGCCATACCCTAGGCCAAACCCCAAAACCTATTCAGAAACTTGCCTTGGTATCTGTTATGGTTGCTGAGAAAAAAGTTAAAGAAGAAATGCAAATTTCGCCACTTCTTTGAGTGTTGGCTCCCTGGTTGGCTCCCAAACGAAACACGTTGGACCCTGGGTTTATTTGGAAAAGTGCTTGTTTTGATCCCTTATAGCGCCCAATCTTTTTTCATATGTATATGTTATACCCTGTATATACGTACGTCTTTCGGCAACACTATGATCATTTATGCTTTGCTTTAGAAAGTTTTAAAGGTATGTTAGTTTTAGATTAAACAGTAAATTTTTATGAAAGTTTGTTGTGCTTTTTGGTGTTTGTAGGCATACCTCTTTTTCGTCTTCCAATCAAACAAAAGAATCCCATATAGTATTATTTTCGTCAAAGTAGTTAATGACTGGAATGCCTAGCACCTCCCAAAATAAGAATACCTTAGGCTTGTCGGTAGGGGTAAGTCTGTCTGCGAGTTTTTGCTCGTGAACTCTCGCTTTTATATTGTGACTTGAGTGGCACTGATATCATAACTCCGTTTGTCTTCTGAGAGTACGTTACAAAAACATATAAGATAATTCAGAAACACAAAGATATAAAAGACATACCTATCTAAAGAATAAAGCAAAATTTCACTCAACGTTTTGAAATGGAAGGTCAAAACGTGATCTGTTAGATAAAATGATGTCCATATTGCGGCGTAAAGGTTTTACGCTTTTAATCCGTTGAGTAAATCGGACCAATCACACTGCGACGAACATAAAGTGGCACGCGTGCGATCGTAAAACAATATGGTTAATAGAAACAAAAAAAATCAATGAAACTGCCAGAACGTCAAAATTCAAACTACAAAACTATTCATTTTGTGTCAGTTCTCAAATTTTGTGAATTTTGCGAACGCTGCGGTCCTGCGCTGTTGTGACCACTTTTTCCGTCCATCAGTCCGTCCGTCCGAGGTCTTAACTAGTCCTACAGTTTTCAATATAGTTAGTTCGTTCTTTTTGAATTCGTCACCTGACTCAAGAAAAATGTTGACAATTAAATGTCAATATCAACGTTCTTATTTAGATATTAATATATTTTATTGAAATTTTAACCACAGATGATTCTAGTAAAGGTAAACATCGCATATAGTAATAAATACGCTAGCAGCTCGTTAATAATCAGATGTGCTCATGCGCAATGCCAACTTTTTATTTTGCATTAACGAGCATTCCGTTTCAATTGACCAAGGGTTCAAATGATTAAAATAACAAGTTTTCATTTAGAATTTCCCACCTGTCCTATACCTAATTTTAAGCTATAGGTTATTCGACGTCTGTATTAACTTTCAATTGTAACATTAATTCATTTGCGAACCGTTCTTAGCTTTCCGTGCGTAAATTCAACGTGAGATAAGTTCACGTAAATTGTTATCTAAATCATTATTGAAAATGTTTAGTCAACAAAACTTTTAAATGGCGATTAAATAGTTATTAACAATTAAAGCCCACTGTCCATGAAGGTATACAAACATAAATATAATAACAGTGAGAGACTATTATAACGTAAAAATGAGTAAGGTTGCTGGGAAAACATGTGCTGTAAATAATACTGAAGGGCGCAGTGGGTGCGGATGATGTAATGATTTATGTAGGGGTACTTCCTGGTTGTTTTGTGCTTTTCTTTAAGTGTATATTTGAACTTGTAAAACTTTTAAATAAATTTTCAGTCATAAAAGAAGTGTTTGAGCTTTGAAATGTATACAACAGAAACTTGTTCAAGCTCTCTGTAGATACCTACGCACCTGTAAATTTACGTTGCTAATTTCTTTTTAGTTTGATTTAATCTACGTTTTTAGACTTATTTACGATGGATATCGCCTTTTGATAAAAAAATTGTCATGGATTGTCAATGTTCGGTAGTGGTAACGAAACGAGTAAACATATTGCATGTTTTGTTTGCATCATATTGAAACAACTTTAGTGCCGGATTACAAAGGGGCCGATTAGGCTATACAGGGTGTCTTAAATTAATTAAATTGAGGCTATTTTTGTTATTTCTGTACTTACAGATTGGTTAAATTGGCAAAGTTGTGTAGTTAAGATGCTGATAGATATTCCGATGCGATATTTTGGAAAAAAAAATTCGTTTCGTAGATAATTGCATCAAAGAAGTGTAAAGTGCCATTTTTAAGCAGTTCAAATATTTTAGTAACAAAGAGAACTATCGAAAAAAGTTTAAAATAAAGGTTGCAAGATTGGATGGCATAAATTCAATGAACGTAGAACAATTTTTTTAAAAATGGCGGTTTCCGAGATATTGACATCAATATGGCGTATATTGGATTTTTACGTCCCTCGATAGAGAAAAAAATTACCTACAAAACTAATGATACTAAACACTTAGTATTTCATTTGGGAATCAACCTTACATTTTTGCCTTTCATTTGTTTGTTGTGCTTCTGCCATCGGCGTGGAAACGTTCGTCGTGGTCGCCTACATGATTCGAGCAACGTGAGTTTCGTCGTCCTTGTCACTGCAAATCATCGCTTTCGTCGAATCCATATTGTCGCCATGATCGTTATTATCTACCACCAATCTTCGTTCTTGAATCTACAGTGAAGAAATCGCCAACTTCGTCCCTTGCAATTAACAGTAAGCCCATCTTTCTTCATCTTATTCTTACCAAAAGTAAGTTCCGTTTTGATTTAAGTATATATTCCCTCTTGTAGCTGCACTACCACCGTCACTGAATTCAAGAATTCAATTGTTTTGTTTGTAATGTTAAAGCTCGCAATTTTTGTAATTTTTTAATATACGTACAACTAATTGCGACTACAATTTTTTTCATTTTCCTATGTTTCAGAAAAATAATTCTCATAATATACAGTCCACTTTAATCAAACCTATAGCATTGCATCACACATACGAGGTCTAGCTACTAAAT